TCCACCCCTTCCCTAGGCTACTGCAAATCTGTTTCCGCTCTTTTCCCCATAGTCCCACACAAATCACATGACTCCTCTGCTCAGCACCCTCCAATGGCATCCTAATGCATGTAAGATAAAACCCAGACTCCTACCACAGCCTGTACAGTCTTGCATGGGTGTCCCGCCTCGATCGATCGATCGCTCCACCCCAGATGTGCTGAGTACTGCTTCCCGAGCTTGCCATTCCTTGTACATTATTCCCCCAGAATTTACACAGCCCATTCTCTCACTTCATTCAAACTCTGTTCAAATGTTCTCTCCCTTCCAAGGCACCCTGTGTAAATGAGTTGTACCCTTTATGGAGAAGAGAATGAAAAATTAAGACCTGAGAATTGGCTGTCAGAAGACTGTCTTAGAAATGAGTGTGAAAGGGCTGGCCAGTCAGCTCACTTGGGAGAGCATGGTGCTGACAACACAAGGTCACAGGCTTGGATCCTTGTACCGCCATCCGCCAAATAAAGAAAGAAAGAAAGAAACGAGTGCATAAGCAGTGTAAAGATGTGCAATTTTCTGAGTGAGCTAGACCACACTGTCGATAAATGGAAGACATCCCTTCATAACAGCCCAAGTGTAAAAACTCCAGAAGCACAGATTTTGAGATTCTCATTTCCACAGAGTGCTCCAAAAGGCCACTGTACTTATGACTATTTCCCAGAATAAAGCAGAGTAAAGAAGATGTGTAAACTGGTCAGAATAAGGAGTAAATCAAACCAAAATTTTGGTGGGACTACTTGCAGGTTTCTGCTTCCAGGAGGGCTGAGTTAGCTCCTACCAGACTCAGTCCTCCTGCAGATGACAACCAGAAATTATGAGCAAAAAAGTCAAAAAAGCAGTTTCCTGAAGGTACAAGAAAGTAAACAAAAGAAGGCAAATTACGGAGGGGAACTGAAATTCAGAGGGTAGAAAATACTGATACAGGGAGAGTTACTATTGCTTTTACCCTGAGAGTGGGCCAGAGTTGGCATGATGAAGGACAGCTAAAACTCTCAAACAAAACCCACAATCTTTCTGGCCTGAAGAATAAAAGGAAAGAGTATGGGCCAACCACATCCCCTGGAGAGAAAGGAGGAAACTCCAGAAAGGAAAGAGTCAGAGAGCAGAAGCTCCAAGTTCTGTGTGTGAACTGCCTAGTCTCTGGCCCACCCCTAAACCTTGCATGCTTGGTGCAGTTTGTGAGCAGACTGGCAGAACAGAAAGAACTCAACTAACATTTGAGCTGCTGTTCAAGAGACTGTCACTCCAGTTTGAGTACGACCAAGTTAACTGCCTGCTAAGACAAAAACACCAACACTTTTCTGAATAAAAACCAAAGAAAGGGCCGGCCCGTGGCTCACTTGGGAGAGTGCGGTGCTGATAGCACCAAGGCCGCGGGTTCGGATCCCTATATAGGGATGGCTGGTTAGCTCACTTGGGAGAGTGCGGTGCTGATAGCACCAAGGCCGCGGGTTCGGATCCCTATATAGGGATGGCTGGTTAGCTCACTTGGGAGAGTGTGGTCCTGACAACACCAACTCAAGGGTTAAGATCCCCTTACCGATCATCTTTAAAAAAAAAAAAATCAAAGAAAACCATGCCAAGGCAAATCATAGTCAAACTGCTAACAATCATATTCAAAGAAATCTTGAAAGCAGCCAGAGAAAACCACACATTACATATAGTGTAACAAAAATTTGAATTTCCACTGACATATCATCAGAAACAATGGAGGCCTGGAAACAGTGGAACATCTTTAAGGTGCCATGAAAGTGGTGATCCCCAACCCAGCAGAGAGTTTTTCAAAAGACTAGACCTCAAATCCCTTGGCACAGTAATCCTATACACATTGCTTCCATTAGACACCTTTGTTGGGGCCGGCCCGGTGGCGCACTGCTATAGTGCGCCGCTTGGGAAGCGCGGTGGCGCTCCCGCCGAGGGTTCGGATCCCACATACAGACCGGTTCCCGCTCACTGGCTGAGCGAGGCGCAGGAGCAGCGCCGAGGGTTGCAGTCCCGTTGCCGGTCCGGTACGGGGGCGACACTGAGGGTTGCGATCCGTTGCCGGACACAGAAAAAGACAAAAAGGAAAAAAAAAAAAAAAAAGACACCTTTGTTTTCATGCTCCAGGAGCTAAAGTATCCAACTCAACTGTTTACAAAACAGGCAGGAAACAGGGAAGTCTAATACCATTGAGATGAGAGATCCAGAAAAACTGGCAGCACTTTGTCCACCTCTGCAAGTCCTGTCCTTGCCGAGCCACTATCCCCCAGGAGCTGAAATTCTTTACACACAGCATCTGGGACAAGAGTGTCCAAGGATGGTGGCAATAAAGACCACCCTCACTCTAGGCCAAATCCCTTTCTTATGATGTAAGTAATTACTGGAAAAAAATGAGAAACCTTTGTAAGTCCTATAAGACACCCCTAAGGCACCCCTAAGACAATCTTTCTCCACTTAGCCAGGGCTCAACAGAGTCCACAGTCCACAAATATCCAGCATTTATGCCTACTGCTTAGTTGGGAACCTGAGCATAAGAGTAGCACAAACTGTCCAGCATTTTCTGAGATGGCATGAAGGTCCCTGGATTGATTCATTTAGCCAATATGCTGATTTTAAATCATTTTCTCTAAAGGTTTAGAATGTGAGAGATTACCTGGGAACCACCTGCTGCTAATTTTATAAAAGTCTGTTAACCATAATGAAATGACTAGATTATTTCTGCAGCTAGGTAGAAAAACACTCTGAGGTGTGTGTCATAACAGTGCTATTTTCCTACGGGGAGAGAGCTGCCAGTCTCTCTCTAGCACTGAGACCTGAGGTCAGCAATTTCAGCTGCTACCCACAACACCCACCTCTCTTAAATAGAAAGCATAGTCAAAATATTTAGAGAATAGAGTGAAATTCTCTAGCTTGAAATTGTTTCTTCTTTTAAAAACACTAGAAAAAACTTGTATTCCTAATATGAGAAAGCTATTTGGAATGGCTCCCTATTTGGAAAGTTTCTGTCATTTTATGACTAGGTATTGTATTATCACAATGGGCTGCCCAGTAATCAAATAGGACTACTTATTTTACATCAGAGTTAAAAGAAAGGGGCCGGCCCCGTGGCGCACTTAGGAGAGTGCGGCACTGGGAGCGCAGCACCGCTCCGGCCGCAGGTTCGGATCCTATATAGGAATGGCCGGTGCGCTCAGTCACTGTTAACCAGGCTGGCACCAGTTTCTCTATATCCCTATCAAAATAAAAGAAAACAGGAAAATTGGAAAACAAAAGCTGCTTTATTATTCTACTATTTGAGCAGCATGTACTTTTCACAGAGCAAATGATTTTTTTTTTTTTTAATTTCAGTGACATTCATAAAGTTGTAATTGAGAAAGAAAAAGTGAAATTCATTTTGGACGAAGTCTATAAAAGAAATCCCCCCATTTACAAAGCTTTTCTTGAAACACAAGGTAAATTCCAGGATAAAAGTTTTTAGAAACCTACAGTCTTTGAATAGCCTCAGATTATAAATTCAATTAAATAATAAAACACCAGAAAAGATTAGTAGCAGTATTAAGAAAGAAAATTTAAAACAAAGATTGCTAGGACTCTGTACAGGAAGAAAGTAGTAACAGCCATGGAAGAAAGAGAAATTACATGGTGGACACAAGAAGCCTTTATCAGTGAAGTTAGTTAAAGCTGCCCATAATGTAAGCAGAGCATACATGTAGTACAGGTTTTCATGTCCTTTGATATTATGGGGTAAGAAAATATCAAATAATCTTTGAGCACCTTTCTAGAAAACTTAGTAGGATTATCTTAGATTTCTCTTTACCCTGAGGTCACAGAAGCTAATTAACTTATCAAAGATCACAAAATAGCTATTTAATTCCAGGTCTATATCACTCCAAAACTCATACTTTTTCTATCACATCACGCTGTGCTTAGAAAAAATTTCAAATTAATTATTTCCCCAATGAAATAATTCTTTTAAAAAGTCAACTAGCTTAAACATTCCTCTTCCAGACAAATCTCCCCTGAAAACTACTAATTTTCTTAGCAAGCTTCTAGCAATGTATGGCCCATTAGGCCTTCTGCCACCTTTGCTACCTTTTTCTGGGAAGTACCTATGCCGCAGAACAAGCAGTTTGCTTAGGACCTGCTCTAGGGACCAACATTTAAGAGGGATGGGTTGCCAACTCTCTTCCAGACTGCCAAGTTTAATTCAGCAGGCAGATAAACAAAGTCCTCAGAATTAAAGCCCTATCTCACATATTCGGCTATTATTTTTCTATAAAATACAGCACCTAACCTTGAGAAATAGAGTGAAGAATGAGAAAGAGCCTGCAAGATACTCTAGAAAAGAAGGTTTGGGATCTCCAACTCCCAAATATCAAATCCCAACTCCAGATTTCCAAAAGACTTCTATAATATCCTGGGAAATGACAGTCTTCTTCCTAAATCCTTTGGGAAGTGATTAAAACTGCAGTTTTTGCAATCAGACATACTGAAGCTCAGCTCCTCTGTTACTCACCACGCCCTCGGGCAAATTCATTAACCTCTCTAAGCCACGGTTCCCATAGATATAAAATGAAGAAACAGTGATAATAATATAAGTCATATAACGCTAATTATAATGCCTAGGTCCTAAGTGCTTTCTAATGTCAGCTTTCTAAAAAATGTTATCATCATCGTTCCTATTATGACATGGAAGAAGCCTTTGGGATAACTGAAGGGGTTGTGTAAACCTTCATGGGTGCAGCATCACTTTCAGTTTTGGAGGGTCTTGGCAGATTTAGGAAGTGAGCGGCAGTGGAAATAGCAAGACCTGAAAAAGCAGCAAGCAGAAATTTCAAGGGGAAAGGAACCTGCACGGGTCAAAAGAAAAAAGTATGTGCATATTCTTCTCTACTAAAAATCAGGATAGCTAAAGGAAACACAGAAAAGATCAAGAGTGAAATACTATTTCATGCAGTAAAACTGCACATTTTTTCTATTACCATGATGGGGACGCCAATGTCAGGCCACAGAAGGTCCTCTGAGGGTAGTTTGGGAGAATTCCACACCACCACTACCTTGTTCAGGTAAGGGAGGCCATTCAGTCTCTCTAAAGAGTTCATAAGCACTTCCTCCCGCTCGTAAGTCAACATCACTACTGTGAACTGCTCTCGGGGAACGTTGCCTCCAAGTGCTGCCTGAAACTCCTTGCCAGAACCCCCAGCTCCACCACCAATAGGCCGAAATCCAGTCCCTGAACCCAAGAATTTGGCCTCTGAGGGCAACACAGGGTCAAAGGGGGTGTGGGGGAAAAGATGGAAAGGCCCTGGAGCTGAGTTCCAGCTGCGGTAAAAGTCAGTGACAGTCAAAGTAAAGTTGCGGAGGTATTTGGGTGAGGCATAGGGTGGCTCTGTTTCCACTGGCCCCAGGTCCAGGTCCCCATTGTCAGCCATGTTGGGGTCAGTTCCGGCTGCCTTGCCTGAACGATGGGGGATCTCAGCTGCTGCCTCTTCCTGGATGGGAGCAGCTGGGATCTGAATGCGAGTCCGAATCATAGCCAGCACGGTATTAAAAATACTGTCAGCAGTGGAGAAGTAAGTCTCCCAGAGAAAGCGGCCTTGCCGCCTCATAGCCAGTAGATCACTATCAGAGAGACTTCGTAACAGGAAGTGAACCTCGGTAACACGTGGCTTGGGCACCACCAGGGCCGCCTCACTCCACTGCAGCATGTCCTGATACGGAAGCTGTACTTGCTCCCCCAGCACAACTGGGACAGCACCGACTTCCAGGGCTTCAAAAAGCCGTGTTGCACACCCAGATGAGACAATCAGATGAGGGTCCCCAGGAGTGATAATGAGGGCAAAGGTGGAAAGCTTCAGTAATTCTAAGCGGTCCTCCCGTTCTCCACACAATGCCCACTCAGTAGGCAGACTGGGCTTAGGCTGGTTTTTGCAGGTAAATTCCACCAAGACCTGATCTAGCTTGCTGTCCTGTACAGCCTTTAGGGTGGCAATAATCCGATCGTCATAGTCGGCTGGAGGGTCACCCTCCATCTCTTCTTCAAAGGAGCGGGCCTCCTGAAGACTGGACCTCAGGGATTCAATCTTCTCACCCTGGAAGGTGAAGAGGTATTTCCGCTTAACTGGCACCTGCGGTGGGATTTCCATGAAGTTGGGTTCGGACATGGCATGGACTAGTGGTGATACTACCAAGTCAAAGCCGGGTCTGTACTGGGCAGCATAGAAAGTGGACTGAGCCACCATGGCTCGGCCTGTACTGACATTGTAGAGTAAATTCTGTGTGTCTGACTTACGTGACAGATTGATGATGACATGGTTGTGTCCATCTGTCCGCCAGTGCGGCAGGGAATACAACTGCTTCTCCAGGTCAGCAGGCTGCAACACTGCTGGCTCCTGCATTTCTCCCACTAATACCACATACAGGCAGGCAATGTCTGCATTCTCTGTAACATAAACGCTGGATCGTGCTGTAGCCTGAAAAGCCTGCTTGACCAAGGGTTCCAGGTAGCTACCAAAGGCAAACTGATCACTGTCATAAACATAGACTGGAAAGCCAGAGGTGAGTGGGCAACGAGAATAATCAAAACAGTTGTGTAGCCGGCAACCCCGAATGACCTTTGGGGGAGGGAGGCCAGCATCGTCCTTCTCTGGGAGCAACCGGATGGGCAGAGAAAGCTTGGGCTGATTCTGGGCCATCAGCTCTTTGTAAGAATGCTCAGTCTGGCTAATGACATTCTTGAGCTGAAGCAGGTCCTGCTTGGCATTCTCAATACTCTTCTTACAGGCTTCAATCTTCAGATTCAGCTTGGCGATTTCACTGTTCAGCTCTTGTCGCTTGGCTTCCAGCTGTAAAAGCTCTTCACTTACAGACTCGCGAATGCGGCACAGATCCAGCACATGCTTTACCTCACATAGCTCATTACCAGCCCGGGGGCCAAAAATCCGCTTGCCTGCCTCATCAGCCTCATCCAGAGTGGTGAGATAGTAGTGAGCAATGAGAGGGAAGAAAACCAGGATGATGAAGAGCGTAAAGCTGAGCCATGTGAGGCGGACACGGCTGGACCACCTTAACATACAGGTCTGGCCTCCGTTCCCCACGCCCCCATTGCGCAACATGGTATAGCCCGTCATAAACTCCTCTGTGGCTCCTGCCCCTCTGATCACGTTGGGTCACTCGCCATAACCATGAGTTTCTATTCGACAAAACCCAATCTCCTTTTCATTCACAGGCTTCCGTAAGCATCAGCATGCTCCCTGAGCAAGGCACCAGATAAAACGGAAATTTCATTTTCCTCAGCTGCAGGTAAACTGGTCTCTGACCCTATTCCAACAGACCTTAAGTTCTGGTTGGCCAGAGAACAGGCCCTTAATCTTTATCCAATAGTAAAAGGTACCACACTGCTGCTGAGATGAAAGGGAGGAGGGCCCTGATGACGAAACCCAGGAAAAACAAGCTGCAATCAGACAAGCTTTTTCAACGGCCATAACTCTTGTTCCTGGGTTCTGCTGACCAACAAGTATGCATAGTTTCTTTTCACAGGTATAGAGTTAGCTGATCAGAAGAGAAATAAATGCCAGCCTCTTATCAATGTCACTGCCAACGATGAGGCCTGCAAAAGAAAGAGAACCACGTCAGTCCTGAAGAGATTATGCTCAACAACCCACTCTACAGTACATTTCTAGAAAATGCTTAAATCTTATAAGATCAAACAATGGTTGGAATATTGGTGTGTGCTTCAAAGAACATTAATCCAACATAGAGATTGTGTGTGGCATGGGTATTTTACTTGTGGTTAAGAAGAAATGAATATTCAAATCCCTGTACCGACCAACTGGCAAAAAAAAAAAAAGAATTGGGTAAGTGCCCCAAACAGCTTCAGCTTACCTCCCCTCCTGCACATACCCACCCTCTTGCTAGTTAACTGGATCTACAGCAGCACTAGAGCCCTATCAAATGACAATCAACTAAATTTAACAGAAGGCAAAGATTTCTGCAATAACAGTTTGTTATTCTAGACCAGGGCATCATCTTTAAATGAGGAGAAACATCTTCTTACCCAACCTTGCTAACTATGTTCACTCCTAACATAAAGTCTTCTTTTGAACTGCTTAACAAAAAGAGACTCTGAGCAGCTCTACTTGTTAAATTTAGAGCTGAGAAGAGTTGAAGAAAACTTTTTTGATCTTTACCCAGTAGTAGATGCAATAATCCAAGAGACAAAATGTATTTCCCAGTTTGTCTCATTTATCTTCCATTAGTAGCCATCATGTGTTCCTTCTTAAGATATAAATAGCAACCTGGTCTTTTAGAAAAAATACTACACTTAGAAATGAGAGGCATTGTTTCTCATCCTTTGGAGACAGATCTGCTATTAGACCTGATATCTCAGTTTCCTAATCTTCTAAAATGGAGATACATGCATGGAGATAATATATTGTGTTGCTAAGAGAAAAAAGCTCACACACACACACACAAAAAAAAAAAAAAGAAAAGAAAGAAAAGCAAGCACAGAGGACATCAGAGTGCCTTAGGCTAACCAAACTTGAAACCAGATTCCCAGTCCCATTCTCCTTCCAAACTTTCCTATCACAAGCTATGGAAGCTTTCCACTTGCTCTCCCCTCAAACTCAGCATATCTACAAGTAATACATAATATTCTGTGCCAGAAAATATTCCTAATTCCTTTAAATCATTTATTCCAAAAATATATTCACCATACCCTAAACATGTCTAAGACATGCTAAGTATAACTGTGGGAGAATCTAGACTGTATAATAATCCTTGACCTCATAGAACTTCCTTTAGCCTGAAAGATATAAACAGCAAGGGTACCACTACAACTGGTATAAAATAAGCAGAGGCCAATCACTCTCTCTACCTTCTACCTTTGTTAAAGATGTTTAACTATTAAAGGTTTGATAGAGTCTTCTGTCCTTTAAAAAAAAAAAGGTGAAGACAATGTTATTGAAAAGTTTAAGTAGAGCAAGTGATAAGGACAACAAAAACAAAAAATATATATCTATCATGGAGAAGACTAAATTTGGATAGTCTAATCTTGGGTAGTTAGCAGCTGATCAAATACCCCCGAGAAAGTAGGCCAGTATTTCTAAAGCATGTGCATTGTCCTTTTGATTCAACTGTTTAGTTCCCTTTTTGCTTTCAAAAGAATATTCTCTGTACATACGATCAAATATAACAAAGAAAGAATGGAATGGAGGAAAAAAAGAAGGCATAACAAGGCAGTCCAGCTGACTCATTCCTTCTTACCATATGTTTCAGGATCCTTTCTTTCTCTGACTTACGTAGTGTAACACTTCAGTATTATGATCTCCTGAAATAGTGAACGTCAGGGCTTGTTGTTCTCCTGGTTTAAAAGAAAATAGAAAAGTGACACGCTATTAGAAAAACACTCAGTACTGAAGGTCCTGATAAAGAATTTATTTACCATCCCTATGAAAAGGCTTCCTTTATGTATATAAGGTAACCAAAGAATTCACGGTCCAAACAGAGACACTAGGAAGTGAAAAGCAGTGCACTTAGGTGCTCTAAGAGGGAATAAAACACACTAAAATGTGAAGTCCTTACCTTGTAGAAGTATATCCTGAGCTATTTATAGATAAAATTATATACCTGGAATTTGCTTCAAAACAAACAGAATGAGGGTGGTGAGTGTTTGGAGGTATAGATAAAAGATCAGCCCTGAGCTGATGGCTGCTCATCAATAATGACCTGTACACATGGGGGTTTATTACATTATCCTCTTTGCTTCTATCTATGTTTGAAATTTTCCATACCAAAATTGCAAAAAAATATTACATACACAGTCTAAACAAAAGGTTTTTATTTATTTTATTTTTTATTTTTTGCGGATGGCCAGTAACAAAAGGTTTGTAAAGTCATTTGGAGACTGACTAAGACTAATATTTCTAGTGCTATCAACATACAGAAGCAGAGCTGGGAGGAGAAACAAATTCTCTAATGGAAACCAATAATTCAACAGTGATTCAAAAGAATTTATCCCTGTAAGTTCCATCTCTTTTACTAGAATGAGGCAAAAGTGTCATCAATGTTCAGAAGCATGAATCTTCCTTCCTAAACAATTAATTACATTATTTCAAGCACAAAGGAAAAAGAAAACCTTCAGGATCTCTTCTGTCATCCTCTGGAAAATGACAATGAAGATATTAAAATCTAGAAAAATGAGGGTACATCAAAAAGTTCATGGAAAAATAGAATTGAAAGATAATACGAATCTTTCCATGAACTTTTTGAAGTACCCTTGTAAATGTCACTGAAACATGATAACAAACAATCTCTAGAGACTTTTCATCCAAACACAATGTACATGTTTTGTTAATTCTCAGTCACCTGCCACAGCATTTAGTGCCTGCCTTGTCAGTCTGCCTGCTACAATGTGTTCTGTGTATAGCAATCAGAAACAGCTTCTTAAAACATGAATTGGACCTGTTCTCTCCCCTCCTCCAAGTGTCCAGTGGCTTCCCACAGCACTGCCAGGCCCTTCCTAACTAGCCCTGACACGTCAACCCACCTGACTCACTCATTGGCCATCACCATACCTGTGCACTTGACTCCAGCTACACTAGCCTCCTTTCACCGCCTCAGCCACGCCCCTCTCTTCACTGTCTCAGGGTCTTTACACTTGAGGCTCTGTCTGAAATGTTCTTCCCCAGCCTTTTCTCTGCTTGGCCCTTTCTCACCCTTCAGGCTTTAATTTTCTTGACATTTCCATTTCAAGCAGCCTTTCTCACCCCTGGACACTTTCTGGCATTGACCTATTAATTTTCTCTGTAGTATCTTTTCCTTTATTTATTATCCACCTTCCCACTAAACACTAATCTTCGAGGGCCGGAATCTTGTCTGCTTGGATCACTGCTGTATCACCAGCACCCAGCAGAGTCTGGCACTCTGAATGCTCTGTAAGTATTTGTTTAATAAGTGTATCATGTCATTGATCACTTCCTCATCCTACAAACCCTCAGTTCTTCCACTGATTCCCATGAAACTGGACTTTTTGGTGTTCCACCTATTTCCCTGACTCATTCTCCCTTTCTGCTTTGTAGGCACCCAGTCTTCCTCCAACCTCATACTGAAAGCGTTCCCCAAGGCTCTCAACAATCTGTTAACGAATCCATCCACTTAAGGCTTCACCCATCACCTATAATCAGATCACCCGACAGCCATGACTCCAATCCTAGCCTTTCTGCTTTGCACTAGTAGTCCAGTGTTCCCAGCTGCCTAAAGCACACCTCTCCTAGGATATATTATGGGCACTTCATGCTTCCAAATACTTCTACTTTCCAATAACTTTTAGCTCTGCCCGGGGCAGTACATTCTTCCAGTCTTACAAGCTAAAAACAATGTGATATACAGGAAAGAGGACAGACCTCAGAACTATCAAGACCTGGGTCAAATTCCAGCTTCGTTAGCTGTTAGATGGTCACTTAACCATTCTAAAATACAGTTTTTTCACCAGTCGAAAGATAACAACGCTCATGTTCAAGAGTGTTATACAAATTAGAGACAGTAAATTTTAAAATATACTGCTCAATTATCTGGCTTAAAGTAGGCTATTTATTAGTATAATCCTTGAAGTTATTTTTATTCTTATTTTTAATTTTTTTGGTGCTGGCTGGGATGAGGACCCAAACCCTACACCTTGGTGTTATAACACCACACTCTAAACAACTGAGCTAACCAGCCAGCCCCTTGGAGTTATTTTTAATTCCTCTAACAACTTACATCCACATCTGATCTCCTACCAAACCTTATCAACTTTTTTTTGGTAATAATAATCATTATGGTAACAATGTATTTGTAATAAGAATTTCTAATAATTTTTACATTTATCCCATCCTTTTATTCTACTGCTGTCGCCCTAGTCCTGACCCATAACAGACCATAGTGCCTAACCCCAAATTCCCCATCAACTGATCCTGTGTATTAATCCAATCCAATAGTGCTTCAGCTTGAAAATTTTCAATTTAAAATTTTCAATTCAAATGTCTTTGAATTCACTGATTCACTCTTCTGCTATATCCAGTCTTGTGTTAATTCCAATAAATTCTTAATTTTGGGTATTGCATTTTTCAGGTCTACATGTTGTCCATTAGGCCCCTTTTTAGAGATTCCATTTCAAAACTGAAATTCCCCATTTTTTCATTTTTCCCTAATTTCTTTAGCATATTTATAAGAATTTATTATCTAATTCTATTATCTGGGGCACCTGTAGATTTGATTCTATTGACTACTTTCTTCTCTAGTTTATGGGTCATATTTTCCTACTTCTTTGTAACCTTATAATTTTTAATTGTATGCTGGTTATTAAAAAGTACTTAAAAGAACCATAAAGCTGGAGTAAATATAATCTTCCCAAGAGAGGGTATAACTTTCTCTGTCACACAGAGCAAACATAATTATGTAAAGACCCTCCTTATCCCTATAAATACTTTTTGCCTTACAGTTTACTTATGGTTGATAATATCAGTCACTCTTCTGCTTTAAAAAAATATTGTGGTAAAATATATATAACATAAAACTCACCATTTTAACTATTTTTAAGTGTATGACTTAGTGGCATTAATTACCTTCACAATGTTGGGCAACTATCATCACCATTTCCAAAACTTTATCATCACCCCAAACAGAAACTCTACAACCATTAACTTTTCATTCTCCCCTTCCCCCATCCTCTGATAACCTTGTTTACTTTCTGTCTCTATGAATTTTCCAATTCTAGATACTTCGTATAAGTGGACTCATATATGTCCTTTCATGTCTGGCTTTTTTCACGTAGTACAATATATTCAAGGTTTATCCATGCTGATGCATGTATCAGAACTAGATTCATTCTCATGGCTGAATAACATTCCATTGCAGATATACGATGTTTATATATATATATATATATAAAAACACCGTTTTATCTATCTGTTCATGGGTTGATGGACACTTGTGCCATTTCTACCTCTCTCAGCCTACTTGCCTGGCTTAACTTTTCCATTCTTTTTCCAGAAATTTTACATGTCCTTGTATTTTAGGCACTTCTTATAAACATATGAGAACAAGATCTTGTTTTTTTAAATACAACTCCAGTCTGACAATCCTTGTTTTTTAACTAGTGTTTGATCCACTTAAGCTTATTGTGATACAGTAATATTTACTTCTCACAATCTTATTTTGCGCTATTTACCATTTTTTCCTATGCTCCCTGCCCCTTTCCTGACTTCTGTTTAGTTGATCAAGTTTTTATTCCTTCTTTCCAAACCCTCTACCAGTCTGAAAGTTGTATATTCAATTTGTTTTCTTTAGTAGTTACCCTTAAAATGTAACATGCATTCTTGACTTAACAAAATCGAAAGATTAACAGTATTTATATTTCTTTTCTCCTCCCAACCAATAAAAGATTCTTAGAACACTATCTATGATGACCATCTCTTGACTGCATGTAATTACTAATACTTTAGCTCCACCCTATTTTTACGCTCCCGATATTATTTTCTCAATAATTCTTCAATAAGAATTCATGCTTGTTTAGATTCACTCACATATTTACCAATTTCCTTGCTCAGCATTCTATTCCTTTTTGAATTTCATTCCTTCCTTCTGGTTATTTCCTTTGTCCTGAAGTAGTTCTTTCAGCGAAATTCTGTTGGTGGTAAACTATTTCTATGTGAAAACATTTTATTTCATCCTAATTCTTGAATGATGATCTAGAGAGCTGGATATACAATGCTAGATTAACAATCCTTTCCACCAGCACTTTGAAGAAATCTCTGGATTTCATCATTGCTGTTGAGAAGTGAGATGTCAGTCTAAGTGTTGAACCTTATGCATAAACTAATTTTTCATTCTGGTTGTTTTTAAGATCTTTCTGTCTTTGGAAAGGTTCTGCAGTTTCAATATAAAGTGTCTACGTGTGGAATTTTGGTTTTCTGTTTGTTTTTGGCTCAGGACTCTTTGAACTTTCTTTTTTTTTTTTGTCTTTTGTCTTTTTCCGTGTCCGGCAACGGATCGCAACCCTCAGTGTTGCCCCCATACCGGACCGGGGACCGGCAACGGGATTGCAACCCTCGGTGTTGCTCCCGCACCTCGCTCAGCCAGTGAGCGGGAACCGGTCTGTATGTGGGATCCAAACCCTCGGGCGGGAGCGCCGCCGCGCTTCCCAAGCGGCGCACTATCCAGTGCGCCACCGGGCCGGCCCTCTTTGAACTTTCTGAATCTTAGGATTCATATCGTTCATTACTCTAGAAAATTCTCATTATTTCTTTGAATATTGTCTGTTCCTCTTTTTTTTTTTTTGCAGCTGGCCAGTTCAGGGATCCAAACCCTTGACCTTGGTGTTAT